AGAGAAATAAAAACTAAACCAAAAAAAGAAATTTAGTTTGAAATGTTTGGTATCTGAAACTTAAAAGTTCTGGGATTGTTTCCTCCAGATGTGACAGAGGGGAGAATAACAATGAACTAAGCCAATCTGAAGAAGGAAGAGAGGTGAGAGTACAAGCATGTCTGATTCAGGTCTGACTTACAGCCCTAAGTTCCTGGGAGACAGGAGACAGATAATGGACCCAATCCCCCAAAGCAGAAACCTCACTAAAGGGATTTGAAAATGTCCTAAATCTGTGGAGTCTTGAACATGCAGATTCATGTTCAGATCTATGAGCCCAAGTGGGTCACAGTGGGCTACAGCAGGGTGCTGACTGGGCTGTGTTCCTTTCAGCAGAGTCATACCTCAGGAGAGAGTCCACACACTTGCCTTTTCAGCTTCTAGAGACTGGGTTACCAGTTTCTCTTGTAAGTAATTTCCCATAATAAATAGCCAACAATACCCTCACCCAGTGTACAGTTGTATTTCCTTTTCATGGAGCCTACCTCTATAAGCCAGGATAACTAACACAATATTAAAGTCCCTTTGGACTTTGCCCATATAGAGTATGCTTAAGTCCATGTATGTAGAGTCCCTTTGGCTTTTTCATATAAGGCATTTTCAATTCCCAAAGATCGGGACATGGGCATCTTTAGAGGTGGCCAACTTTCTGTTTACCTCACTTACTGAATGCACACAAAACTGATTATCTAGGGAAACAAGATGATCCACCCTACAGATCTCAGTTGGTATCATGTCTGTTGCTCTGGTAAAACACACTGACAAAGGTGATTTAGGGGAGTGTCGTAGTCAGGGTTTCTATTGCTGCAAGGAGACACTGTGACCACAGCAACTTTTATAAAGGAAAACATTTCACTGGGGTGGCTCGTTGACAGTTCAGGGGTTCAATCCATTATCTTCATGGTGGGGCATGACAGCATACAGCAGACATTTCACGGGGGTGGCTCATTGACAGTTCAGGGGTTCAATCCATTATCTTCATGGTGGGGCATGACAGCATACAGGCAGACATAGTTCTGGAGAAGAGTCCTACATCTTGCAGGCAACAGGAAGTGGCCTGAGACACGGGATGTGGCTTAAGCACATGTGAGACCTCAAAGCCCACCACCACAGTGACACACTTCCTTTAACAAGACCACACTCACTCCAACAAAGCCACACCTCCTAATACTGCTACCCCCTGTGGGGGCCATTTTCTTTCAAGCCACCACAGAAAGAAAGGGTTTATTTAGTTTATAATTCCAGGTTACAACCCATCCCTGCAGGGAAGTCAACATGGAACTCAAGGTGTTATTCACATCAGATTCCTAGTCAAGAGTATACTGAAATATATTCATACAGCTCTACTTGCTAACTTGTTTGCTTGCTCTCTGCTACCTTTTTCCTCATTCAGAATGTTCAGGACCCCCTACATAGTGAATGGTGCCACCCACAAAGGGATAGATTTTTTTAAATCAATTATCAAGGTAACTACCTACAGACATGCCCTCAAGTCAATGTGATCTAGATAATTCCTCAGGAAGACTTGTAGACAGAGTTTTTCATCTAGACCACTGATCCATTCTTTCCCACCAGCCATTTCCCAAGTAACCACACAGAGACTTAATAGTAATCATAAATGCTCAGCTGAAAACTCAGGCTTATTACTAACTACCTCTTACTACTAGCTCTTAATGTGCTGTCTCAAGGCTCATTTACCTCATCTAGGAACTTCTCATGTTGCTTCTGCATCTGGCTCAAGACCCTCTGACTCCACCCTTCTTTTTTCCCGTGTCCTTAGTCTGGTTCTCCTACATAACCTTATCTTATCCATCTATTGGCCAGTCAATTTCTTTATTAAACCAATCACAGCAACATATTTTCACACAATGTAAAGAAATATTCCACATTCCCTCCTTTTTGTCTAAATAAAAAGGAAAGTTTCAACTTTAAAATAATCAAGTAAGAATTACAGTTATAATATCTAGCAAGTTTAGAGAAAATACTATCTTATCTTGTGAGTCTAAAGTTTTATACCTAATTTCTTTATTAGGACTAAAGAAAACTTTAAATCTAATTATTCAGTGTTTAACTCCATCTAAGGCCCCAGAAGGGTGTGATGTTACCTAACAACAGGGATATCTGACTACCTAGACAGTCATCCAAACGTCTTCTGTAATGTTGGGGCATCCAGATTTGGCCCACAAGCCTAGTATATGCAGCAGACTTTTCTGAGAAGCAGGGAATTTTGAAGGATTGTCCTACCCTGTCTTGGCAAAGTTTGGCAGTTGCTTTATTTATTTATTTATTTATTTTTGTATCCTGCTGGTCCAGTTTGGACAGTATACTTTCAGCAGTTTGGGCAAGGGCAGTATTTTGCCAAGATGGCTAGCTTTTGACATAAAGAAAGTAAATGCCATACAGAGGTTCTTTGATGCCCACTATCATCATGCACATATGAAGGAAACTGATGCTGCCAGGAGCAGACATGCCTCACTATCAAGAAAAGTTTATGTTATTAAAACATTTTAAATGCCATAGTCTGTAAGTCTTCAAAGTGTTTGAAAGCCATCTATCTATCTAAACATATCTGTTTAACATTTAAAACATACCTAATATAACTACAAGTTTGATTATTATAGATGACCAACTGCAAACCTGTATTTCTTAATTATACATTATCTTTTAAAATTAGCTGCATAAGCACAATACGCCAAACAAGAGTAGAAACATACAGTATAAAAATAACTTTAAATTTGTATCAATAAACCAAAATCCATACCAATGTAAACTATTTTGAGAATAACAGGGCTATTTCCGATTAAAGTAGATTCAATAATCTACCCTTTTTCCCTATCATTCCTATATCATATCCCCCTTTTTTTCTTTAGAAAGAGATCTTTAAATTTAACTCTTTTGTTTAGCCTTTTTTTTACTACCAATAACAATTTGTAACCAATCCCCTTTAAATGATAATAAACATCCCTAACCCATCTTTTGGGAATGTAGGCATCATCCTCTAGACTCCTTCCTGTTGTTTGGAAACATTGGCATCTTTGGGGAACCCTGAGAAAATTCAGGATAATGGTTCAGTTTTGGCTGGAGTCGTTTGTGAGACTGGACCATCTCAGCCAGAAATCTTGAAGTTGTTCTGGATGCAGAACTCTGAGGAAACTGCAACAGAGGCATTTTAAGAGGATGGATCACCTGGGTCATTTTTTTATTGGTGTCTGGTCCCCTTGCTCTGAAAATACATAAACTTTTAAAGGATTTGTGTGTGTGTGTGTGTTACCTACATGTATGATATATATATATATATATATATATATATATATATATCTTGTGCAATATATACAAGTTAGCCAGAAATGATTTTTTGTTATGTGCTTGAGCAGGTAAAATATATGGTACCTGTTTTGTAGTTTTTTAAAGATTTATTTCTTTATCTCTGTGGTCAGGATTTTCAGGAGGTCTTCCTCCATCAAACCTGATCATCTTTAACCTGGAATGAATCCACGGCTTCTTATTTCCTGTAGAAATAAAAGCACAATATCTCCCCCAAACAACACACCTTTTGACTTCCACTTTGAAGTCAAGATATTTTTAAAATATATAGGTTGGTTTAATCTAGCATTTTTCATAATCCAGTGTTGCTTAGCAGTTATATATAGGTTGGTTTAATCTAGCATTTTCCATAATCCAATGTTTCTTAGCAGTTATCAATCATTCATTAGCAGTCAAAAATGTAAAGACAACACAATAACATACAGGATCCAAATTCTCTGTGTATTTCCCATCTTCACGTGGTTTTTTTCTTTTATATTTCTTCACTCCCTTTTTAAGGATTTTACTATCTTAAATATAGATAGATAGATAGATAGATAGATAGATAGATAGACTGTCTATACCCTTTTTCTTTTCTCTCCCAAGCCTTTGTACATTTTTAAATACACTGTAACCTGTTTAGAGGGTTTTTTCCCATCTGAATCTGTCTTTACTGAGCATCTGTAATCTTTTCTGTCTTCATGAGCAAAACCCCAATCCATGCATCACACTGGCAAGGCTGGCACTAGCAATTCAAGCCTGCAGGCAGAGGTTGGGAGACATCTCTCTGTACCACTACCTGACCCATGTGAGAGACTGAGGGAACCCTCCATATGGCTTAGCTTGTGGCATGTTGGCAGTTGCCAGGAAAGGCATCTCTGTACTATAGCTGGCATGAGATGAGACTAGGAAGCCATGTTTACTTCTTGTTTTTTGTGTTTAGAACCTTTTATAATCTTTCTCAGGTCTCATGTGAATGTAGGTGCCAGACAATTGGGCACCATTATACATGGAGTTTTACGTCTAGACTGCCAATCCATTCTGTCCACCAGCCATTTCCCAAATAACCACACAGAACCTTAATATTAATTGTAAATTCTTAGCCCATAGCTCATTCTTATTAATAACTAGCCCTTACAATTTAAATTCATTCATTTCTCTGAGGCTCATTTATGTCATCCAGGAATTTCTCATGTTGCTTCTTCTGCATCTGGCTCAAGACCCCTCTGACTCCACCCATCTTTTTCCCTGTGTCCTTAGTCTGGTTCTCCTGCCTAACCTTATTCTGTCCAACTATTGGTCAGTCAGCTTCTTTATTAAACCAATAACAGCACATATATTCACACAGTGTAAAGGAATATTCCACAAAACTCTTTCGAGATGACTCTAGGTTGGGTCAGTTTGGCATGTAGAGCTAACCAGCACATCCTGCTATAGTCCCTGCTCAATAGCCTCTTGAAAAAAAAGTGGCTCCAATAGCAGAGATGGGGGGATTTCCCTTCACAGAGCTTGATCCTGCCTTACCCTTGCTGAGTACTCAGTAGCAGAGACCAATTCAGAGCCCCGAACCCATAGCTCCACTGTTAGACACCTCCCATCACGGACAAGAAAGCAGTGTGCCCTTGCTGGACCAGACCCTGCCAAAGCTGCGGACTTACCTTTCTGTCTGTTGTAGTTCAGCTACCACAAGCAGCATCTGCAAACTTTCTGAACATTTCACTTGCACTATCCCTCTAGACTGGTCCAGGTAAACTGATGGAGATGAATGGATAATGGAGATGGATGGTTCATGTCTACAGGCCACACCGGTCTTATCACAGACATCACCACACAGCAGCTAAAGAGAGAGAACAGTGAATTGACCTGTTGAAGGCATAACTGCAGCTCTAATCTGTACCTTCTGAGAGTTGGGTGTCATTTGCAGGACATAACATTTGCTCAGGACTGGAGATTGACTTATGGTGCTATTTTTGTTATGGCCAAAAATATGTGAGTCCAGTAACAAAGGGATATAAATGGACGAGGTGCTTCCCACTGTATTGGTTCTTCAAACATTTGTCTGCATTCCTTGGACTCAGTTACCCCAAAGAGCCCCAGACTGCCCAAGGACTCTAGGAATTCATCGCCAGGAACCCAAAAACAGTTCCCCCAAACAGAGGAATAAGGGCCTGTTTCTTAGCCACTTGAGTCTTTACACCACTAAATCAACAAACAAAGGCAAGGCAGGGGGCAGGTTGCTGTGTGTAGTAGGGGAAAGCTTGTCAACAATATGAGAAACGCTTACAGTGTCTCCAAATAACATCATCTAATGAGAAAATGAACGCAACAGTGACCCCACAAAGACCAGACTCAGAACGTTTGGGAACTTTACTAAGTAAATATCCAAGTAATATAAATTCATAACTGCCTTGCAAGAAGAGGACTATCACAGAGAACCAAATTCCTTTCTTTGCTTTGTTATTTTTTTTTGAGGGGGTATGTTTCGAAGCAGGGTTTCTCTGTGGCTTTGGAGGCTGTCCTGGAACTAGCTCTTATAGACCAGGCTGGACTCAAACTCACAGAGATCCGCCTGCCTCTGCCTCCTGAGTGCTGGCGTTAAAGGTGTGTGCCATCACCGCCCGGACATTCTTTGCTTTGTTATTTCAGATATTCATTTCCTGTTTGCCTCTTTCCCTTACAAGTTGGTATTATTAGTGGTACACATTGGTTATATCAAAATGGGATTCATGGAACTAAAGAAAGAAGGTCAAACACCAAACAATGCTCATGCTAACTAGGACTTCAGATTGCCTTTATGGGAGATGACTGATCACAGTTTATTAAAAAGAAGAATCTTGTTACTGTTATCAATGTTACCCGTTTAAATGCAGGTGAGAGGATAGGAGTAGTCAAGGGGACAGAGCATGGTGGGTGTAGCAGCTTACACTCAGTCTCCCTCTAGTCTTTTTCTTGAACAGCAAAGGTTAGAAACCTAAGAAGGCTGTTTCCCAGGTTCCCTTGCAGCTAGAGTTTTAAATATGATTTACATTCTGTGAATTGCTTAGAGGGTTTTCAGATCTGAAATGAGACAAGGCCAGAAGTAACTTTTTTGTTACTGTGGTGGGGGAGGGGGGCGGGTGGACGCCAAAAGATGCCATTGGATCTCCTGAAGCTGGAGTTACAGGTGGTGTGGGCTGCCTGACATGGGTGCTAGGAACCAAACTCCAGGCCTTTGAAGGGGGACTAAATGTTCTTAGCCGCTTAGCCCCGAGGTGATTTTTCATCTGCTTGTGTCATTTCCTTCTGGCTCTCACAGCAGTTCATGAACTGGGCCCTCTGTGGTATCGTTAGCAGGGACCCATGCTTACACAGAGATGAGGCAGCGCTCACAGCACTTGTTCTGCGACCCACCACAGAGAAGCTCGGCAGTGGTGACATCATTGGGACAATTTGCTGCTTGCAGAATTGGCCCACGCGATGTAGAAATGGTAGCTTCCTAACTGTGGGAGCCACAAGTCTCTTGGGGCAATTTCTGAAGTGGTTCCTGGAATCTCGACTTCCATGTGTTTTCAGTCTTCCTGGTCACACGCTCCTTTTGTTGTAGTTCATTTCGACTACAATAACAAAGTACTATAACAGAACTAGTAAGTTGTAAACAACATGAGCTTGTTTACTTACTATGGTTCTAGGGGCTGTGGAATCCAAGATCAAGGTGCTGTTAGACGGAGCACCTGGTGAAATCCCCCTTCCTGGTTCATAGATAACACCTCTCTGTGTTCTGGTAAGTGGGCAAGGCAATTCTTTAGGGCCCCTTTTATAAGGATACTAATCCCATTGATGAGAGGGTGACTTAACCACCTCCCCAAACCTTTACCTCCTAAACCATTACACTGGTGATTAGCATTAAAATATAACTTTGGGAATGATACAATATTCATATCATGGATCTTCTTGGAATAGCTACAGTGGGTTTTATTCTCTCAGAATCCTGACCAGACAATGATGTGAATACAAGCCCTGGTTATTGATTTCTAGAGTTTAAAACCAACATAGCCATCAAAGATGACATAAAGACTTCAAATTTGAGAGTGTAAATATGACGAATCATTTCTAGCCAAAACTTTTTTTTCTCCTCTTCCTGGCCACTAAACAGACTACATATCCCACACTCCCCTGCGGTAGTGTAGCAATGTCGCTGAATTCTAGCCAAAAATAGGTGAGTGAGGTGGCAAAACTGGCCCACAGCCCTCCTCAGCACAGTGTCCCTGCTCTCCTGCCTTTCCCTCCGAAGGAGGCTGACGAGCACTGTGGAGACATTGATTTGTGGTGGAAGTCGGAAAACTAGCAAAAGGTGAGATCAATGGATGAACTGATGCTCTATCAACTCCCCAGGGCTGTTTTGTGAGCAATCAATAACCAAGTGTTGTTTGTAATGTATCCCTCTGAGCACCTGTTGGTACTCTCACAAATTAGCAAGCAAACACACGCTTGAAAATGCGGGTATGGAAAGGAAGAGAACAAGTAGAAGAAATGGACCTGAACATCCTCAACTTAAAAAAAAAAAACGGAGGCCTGAGATGGTTGTGTACCCAAGAAATGAAATACCTGTTGTGGGATATCTGTACACTGCGTGAAGATGTATTGCTGTGACTGGCATATAAAAAGCTCAATGGTCGGAGCCAGGCAGGAGTTATAGGTGGGACTCCTGGGCAGAGAGAGAACTCTGGGAAGAAAAACTGGCAGAGTTGCCAACGAGACACATGGAGAAAGCAAGATGGGCAGTATGAAGGTGAGGTAATGAGTCACAGGGCAGAACACAGATTAAGTAATACTGGTTAATTAAGTTATAAGAACTAGTGAGGAACAAGCCTAAGCTAAGGCAGAACTCTTATAATTAATAATAAGTCTCTGTGTTGTTATATGTGGGCTGACAGTCCAAAGAAAAATCCAACTACAAATAACCTTTACATACACTCATACAACAAACAAGAGAGAAAATTTTTGAAAAGCAATTATATCAACAGGATGCTGTGCTGGCTAGTTTTATGTCAATCCGACACAAGCTAGAGTCATTTAGGAAGAGCGAACCTTAACTGAGAAAATACCCCTGCTACAACTGGCTTGTGAGCAAGCCTGTGGTGCATTTTCTTGCTTGATGATTGATGTGGGAGGGTCCCGTTCACGGTGGGCAGTGTCATCCCTAGGCAGGAAGTTCTGTGTGCTATAAGAAAGTAGACTGGGCAAGCTAGTAAGAAGCACCCCTCCATGCTCTGCATCAGTTCCTGCCTCCAGACTCCTGCCCTGCTTGAGTCCCTGCTCTGACTTCCCTCAGTGAAAGTGTAAGTAAACAGCAAGGGATTGGGTTCCCATCCGTTATAGCAGAAGATGATTAAATAATCCCTAACTCTACCCATCAAGAAACAGAACGACAGTGTGGAAAGGGAAATCACAAACAAAACGTGAAATCAGATAGGTGACCGTCCCTCTGGGCAATGGGTGCTAAGAGGACCACCCACAGTCACCTGGGTGATGCATCAATCTTTAAACAATCATATTGCAAATGGGAGAAGATACAGAGATCTAAAAAGGATAAAATGCCTAAATTTCACTCGTACTTGTAGCATGTAGTCTTCCCGCCAGCCACCTAGGCCCTGCGGAGCTGTCTGAACCCCCAAATAACACACAGGACACTATACTAATTATGAAGCTGTTAGCCATTTGCTATGATTTCTTATCAGCTAGCAATTAACCCATAATTGCCAATCTGAATATTTCCATGTGGTCTTTGCTTACCTGAGAACAGAGTCCAGACCTCTTACTCCTCTGGCTTCCTACATCGTGACTGTCTGTGCCTCTCTTTCCCAGAATCCTCCTCGACTCCTAGTTCCGCCTATCTTGCTTTCCTATTGGCCAACATTGCTTTATTCAACAACCAATAAGAGAGACAGATTTACAGAACGCCATCTCCCATCACATACTGACAAAATATTGGCACAATTTAAAAGTGATAGTGTGTGTGTGTGTGTGTGTAACTTTTTAAAAAGCTGTAAAAACAAAACCTATGCAAGGACAACAACAATGGACTTGCTAACATGGAGGGGGTAAGTCTCACGGGGCTCCAACCCTAAATGAAGAAATATAGACAACTAAGGAATGCTGAGAGAAGAAGTACTCTTCCCCAGGGTACTTCCCCAGCCGCTCAACTGGTTATCCAGTACCAAGTGGTCTCCCCTGAAATCACATACATGCAAACAACATTATATGGGCTGGAAAGGTTATATTCATATATTTTATATATTTAGAAATATGCGTGTTACCACAATTTAAGAAGAGGTCAGAGGCTATGAATGTGAAAGAAAGAAGGAGTTTCCATGGAAGGGGTTGTACAGGGGAGAGGGAAACAGGAAATGATGCAGTTATATTTTAATTTCAAAAAATAAAAAAATGTAAGATCCTTACTTCTTTTTTATGTGTGTATGGGTGTTTTTGCCGGCATGTATGCCTGTGACATTTGTCCCGTTGGGTCTGGGTTACCTCACTCAGATGCTATAATTCTATCCACTTACCTAAAGAGGCCAGAAGAGGGTGTCTGATCTCCTGAGACTAAATGATTGTGAGATGTTCTGTGGACACTGTAGGTTGAACCCTGCTCCTCTGGAAGAATAGCCAGTGCTTTTAGCCACTGACCCATCTCTAAAGCCCCCCCTGCCTCCACCAAAAAGAAAATAAGAAAATTTTAAACAACAATTCTGAAGATACTCTCTTTAAAAAGCAAAACAAAGTACCCACATGGTCTTCTACTCACACAAGGCCACCCAGGGTTGTGTCTCCCAGGTTCAGCTGTCCAGGCACTCAAAAGCCACTGGAGTCATGACCAAGGAAGCCCAACTGCTGCTTGAGCTGTTGGCAGAACTTGGCATCTACATTTTACAGACATGCAGAATTCAGGAGTTAATGAGTCATGGAGGCTTCTATCAAGATATTCTGAGAAAGGCCCATGAGGCCAGATAATGTGTAGCAGAGTCAGATTCTCTGGAGCGAGCCCTGGAGAAAGATACCCATGGGGCTGGAGAGATGGCTCAGCAGCTAAGAGCACTCGCTGCTATTGCAGAGGACCTGGGTTTGATTCTCAGCACCCACGTGGTGCCTCACAGCCACCTATAACTCCAGCTGCAGGGTTCCAAACTCTCTTCTCACCTCTGTCAGGACCAGGCACATACACGGAACACATACGTGCATGCGGGCAAAACATTGATACACATGAAATATAATAAAAAAATATTAAACTGCTCCTCTCCTGATTTCTAGAGTTACTCTAGGTTGTATTCTCACATCTGAAGATTTGGAGCTAAGACCCTCAGATAAGTGAGAACATGTGACGTTTTTCTTTCTGGGCCTGAGTGACCTCGTTCAAAATGATCTTTGCTAATTGTATCTGAATCCATCTAATTCCATCCATGCCAATTTCATGGTTTTAGTTTTCTTCACAACTAAATAGTGCTCCTTAGTGTATCTGTACCACATTTTCATCATCCATTCGCAGTGGAAGGACGTGTAGGCGGTTCCGGCTTCTTAGCAATGGCGAATAAAGAGAGAAGCACAGGACTGAACAAGTACCTGTAGAATGAGATACTGTGTCCTGGTGTGTACACTGAGGAGAGGGAGAGCTGGGTCAGAGGGTAGATCTGGTTTTAGTGTTTTGAGGATTCTCCACACTGACTTCCAGAGTGGCTGGACCAGTTTGCAATCCTACTAACGGGGAATAAGGGTTCCCTTTTCCCCACATCCCCTCCTTTTAGCAATCTTTGCCATTCTGACTGAGGTAAGACGAAATCTCAGAGTTGTTTTGATTTGCATTTCCCTAGTTGCTAGGGACAATGAACATGTTTTTAGGGGTTTCTTAACCATTTTAATTTCTTCAATAACTTCAGGAATCGGAAAAATAAAAAGGGACCATTGCAGGATGGGAGGGTAGCAACAGAGAGGGGAATAGCAGGTTGCAAGTGATCTAAATGGGGGAAATGGGCAAAACAGGAGGGCTTTACTTAGGGAGGAAGGAGGAAGGAGGAGGATAAAATAACAACAATGAAATTCATAAGGAGTCACACTATTAACTATCTGCCTAGAAATACCAATAATACATCTAAGTCTATAAATACATATACATATTAACTATCTGCCTAAAAATACCAATAATACATCTAAGTATATATATACATATACATATGTTGCTTAAATGAAGTTGTCCCACCTGAGCTGACAATGCTCCCACAAAAGTCATAGACCATTCTAACAAAACCCCAAGCACCAGGCAGGAGAAGCTCTCTTTTGAGCTTGGTCAGGGTTGTCCAAGAGACTCAAAACTTTACAGCCCACCACGGTTGCCCTTGGTTGCCCTCCAGAAGTTGAAGGTGAGTCCCTACTGCTGAAGACACCTTGAACTTGAGCATAGGATCCAAAGACCCTTGCAGGGTGTGACCTGCAGGCTGCCTCCCTGTAGTGCCGAAGGCACCATTCAAGCTTCCAAGGGAAGGAAGAGAACAAAAGTCCTACCCAGCTATGGCCCCTTATCACCTCAACCACCATCATGGCACTATAGCCCTAAGAGCACCATAGCAGCACCAGTAAGTTAGAAGAAAATTCTAAGAGGCGAGAAGGGAACCCAGATGCTCAGAAACCCCACCCAAGGGAGAAATGACAGTGGCAGACACCGCATGCCCCCACTGTGACAAAACGCATTGCTGTTCTTGGCTTCTCTGACTCCTTCCTTTGGTGGTGGAGAACATGGACCATGTCCCCTTCATCTCGCACCCTGGGATACTGGCACAGGGTTGGCTCGTGACAGAAGCCAGCATGTGCCCTTTGCTACTCTCATTGGTAGGCTGTGACCGACCCTAAGTATCTCCAGAGAAAGTCATACTTGTTGTGAGTCATAAAGGCAACTTCTCTGCGAGGCCTACCCTCTGCTCCTAAACGCGTCACATGAAAGGGGGCCTAACCTGTAGTGAAAGATCTACCAGATGCACCTTCAGCAATGAACACGCCCATTTTTGGGTCACAGGTGCATAGTGAGCATGTGGGATTTGGTGTCTTGGGGTTCTGGTTGGGTCACTGAGAGCAGCAGGGCGTTTTATTGGTTTCTCATGTAAGTGATTTCTCCCCAAATAAAATTAATGTGTATCATCCTGGCCCCGTGTGTCTTATTTTTAACAACCACACTAATCCATCAAGGATCCCAGTGTTACTCTGTCAAGTGGACAATCTGTGGCTACCATCTGGGACATATTTGAGCTTCCAGTTTCTGAGTTGATATACCAAGCTACTGCCACTAGAGGACACTGTCCCCTTTCCTTTGTCTCTGCAGGTCTGAAAACTGGTTCCTTTCAGTCTTACAAGTGAAGAAGAGACACCAGGCTCATTCTGCTTTTCCAAAAGGGGATCCTGCTGTAATGGGATTGTAAACCACAGAGGGGAGGCTGGTGAACTGAGGATCTAGGTTTGGGCTTGCAGGACCTGCCTCCTTAGCTTCTCCTTCCCTGTTGACTGTCCGCCTGCAGAACATAGAGCATCTCCTGACCCTCCAGAGCCTGGTGAAGTAGCATGCTGGTTCCTCAGTACCATCTTAGGGTACTTCTGTTTCCTTATAAAGAAAGCTCAAGACAGACCCTGGATTCTTCCCAAGTGGTGACCAGCCCTGACAGCCTCCTGATGGTCATTCTAGGTTTCCTTGCCTCTATCTGTGGATCAGCTGAGGTTTCAGCCAGAAGCTCTGCTTTGTAGGGAAACTAGGTGGTTACCAAGATGTCACAAGCCCCAAGTCTTCCCTAAGCCTTGTCCTTGCTGCCTGGCCCCTCTCTCCCATCCACACTTTGGACTTACATCTTCTCAACTCCCAACCTCTGCCTCCATTTCATCTATGATATTCTAGATATGTCCAAAGTCTTGGGAAGCATTCAGATCTGAGTTCAAACCCTTCAGTTAGCTCTTTAACAGAATTGTCATTTACCTGTCTAGGCCTTCTTCTCTGTGACCTGGGAGTGGAATGGCCACTTTAGGGAGGTCATGTATGTATGTATGTATGTATGTATGTATGTATGTATGTATGTATGTGATCATATGCATGAAACATTGTAGGAAATCAATAAAAGTCCTTCATTTCCATGCATGCCACACACAAATCAGGCAAGATATTTACATCACACCTCGGAGCCTGGCTCACTCATTATGACAAGGACAGTGAGCCACAGAGAGATAAAATTCAAATACCTGGGAAGACCTGAGCGAGGACAGTGCTGAGCTTGGGGACAGAGCATTCACACTGGAAGGTTTCACTACAGGGAGAAGCAGAGAGTTGGCGGCTTGGACCTCTGCTTGTGTTTACAGCCACTGCCTGTGAGAGAGAACCCTGCCATGCCTCTGTTTGTCTCTTTTTTTTCCTAATTGCTATTTTCTATCAGATGCTGCCTCACCCTTGTAGAGCCCTGGACAGTGTGGCAAGGGGACCTGGCAGCTGTGGAGAGCAAGGGGAGTAGAAGATCATTGCCACTTTCTTCCTTGGGTGTCAGTGACTTGGAAATGCAGGAGTAAAGCAGGCATGGAGACATCCACCGGGTGCTCACATGAGAAGGTGATGGGGAGAGAGGAGTAGAACCTTAGGGTGTCAAATTGTGTGAAGGCTCTCGTGAAAGCCAACACTACACAGTTTGCCAGAGAAGGGCCACAGCCTGCCCTGCCAGCTTGACATAGAGGGGCAACAGAGGGCTGGCTGTAGGAGGATGGACAGAGAGACCCGTGTGTCCGGGAAGTGAGCTCATAGTACAGGCCGTGATAGGTTAGAGGAAA